GTAACATACTGAAGGATGTCATTAATAATAATAATAATAATAAATATTTTTGTTTACTGAAGGATGTCATTAATAATAACGATAATAATAAATGTTTTTGTAACATACTGAAGGATGTCATTAATAATAACAATAATAAATGTTTTTGTAACATACTGAAGGATGTCATTAATAATAACAATAATAAATGTTTTTGTAACATACTGAAGGATGTCATTAATAATAACAATAATAAATGTTTTTGTAACATACTGAAGGATGTCATTAATAATAACAATAATAAATGTTTTTGTAACATACTGAAGGATGTCATTAATAATAACAATAATAAATGTTTTTGTAACATACTGAAGGATGTCATTAATAATAACAATAATAAATGTTTTTGTAACATACTGAAGGATGTCATTAATAATAACAATAATAAATGTTTTTGTAACATACTGAAGGATGTCATTAATAATAACAATAATAAATGTTTTTGTAACATACTGAAGGATGTCATTAATAATAACAATAATAAATGTTTTTGTAACATACTGAAGGATGTCATTAATAATAACAATAATAAATGTTTTTGTAACATACTGAAGGATGTCATTAATAATAACAATAATAAATGTTTTTGTAACATACTGAAGGATGTCATTAATAATAACAATAATAAATGTTTTTGTAACATACTGAAGGATGTCATTAATAATAACAATAATAAATGTTTTTGTAACATACTGAAGGATGTCATTAATAATAACAATAATAAATGTTTTTGTAACATACTGAAGGATGTCATTAATAATAACAATAATAAATGTTTTTGTAACATACTGAAGGATGTCATTAATAATAACAATAATAAATGTTTTTGTAACATACTGAAGGATGTCATTAATAATAACAATAATAAATGTTTTTGTAACATACTGAAGGATGTCATTAATAATAACAAAGCAGATGGCGCTAAACTGCAGAAATAATAATAATAATAATAATAATAATAATAATAATAATAATATGATTTTTTCCGGCAGTGTTTGTGGTGCCAGACGAACAGCAGCTGCTCAGATTATCCGGTGTCGTATGTGATTCCTCCGGCCTCGGTGTGTAAACTCTCTCAGGCGCGCTGGGGTGTTTGCTGGGGTGAGTTCATGTTCGTGCTTTAAGCAGCTTTAAGATGCACAGAACTGGTTAAATATACCCTCTGATCTCTAATGTACAGCAGCTGCTGAGCTGATGGAAGTAATACTTTCACATTGGTGAAGGGAGATTTGCATTCAGGCCTGGAAGTCCCCAGTGGTTTTGTCACGTCCTGAGGACATTACGTTCATTATTATGCGGATCTCTAGAATACTTGATTCTGATTGGCTGTTCGTGGCATTCAGCGGTTAAATAGTTTTGAATAATAATGACCGTCGTCCAGAACACATTATAACTGAGCGCTCATCTGTGAAACCTAGTGTTATTTATAATACTGTTATAGTTTTATTATTTTGAATTATATATTTTCAGTTTTTATTTTACTTTCAGTTAAATTTTTAAAATTTGTTTTAGTGATTTTATGTGCAATTAATTTTTTCAGCTTTAGTTTTATTTCGGTTAATAATTTTAGTACTTCAGCTTAAACTTATTTCAGTTAGTTGTCATGGCAACCTTTGTAATTTTCCTTTAGTTTAAGCTTTTAATCTAGTATTAATATTTTATTTCCGCTTTATTTTAGATGTTTTTAATAGTTTTAGTAAAGAATACAGTTTCGTCGAGTGTAGAAAATAAAATAATTTATACTTTAGCTGTTCTTTATTTATTTATTTGATAAGTAGTGGTGTGATAATGTACATTCAGACTGTCTTCATCACAATAAAAGTCCCTGTCGAGTTTTATTTAGTGATAATGAGCAGCCGGCTGTTTCTCACTTCTACAGTGAAAGTCTCAAATGTGTCGTGTGTTTCAAAAGTCAGTTTCAGCTTCACAAAACCTCTTATCACTTACCTGACATTCACTCAGAGTCACTTAAAATGTCCTGATTATGTCGAATTGAAAGTGAAACCATACTGGATGAGAGAGCGGAGTCCCCTGCTCATATTTCATCCCAAAATCAAAAGAAAGAAAAAATAAATTGTTTTGCATAAAGAAAATCAAGCCTGTTTTGTACACTTCAAATTTTTTGAAGTTGTATAAAAAACAAAGATAATTAGCCTAGAGTATATTTTACAAGAAAACATAATTTCAGTCTTTCTATTTCAAAGATTTATGTTTGAGGTCAGTGTTTTACCTGCCATTTCTTTATAATTCATTCTGAAATTTACTAGCAAAAAATAGTTTCTACACCATTTCTGTTTTTGTGTGTAGGGCCATTAAGATTTTTTTGTATTGTGAAAATTATTTTATTATTTATGCAAAAACTCTTATTCTCTTCTGGCTGAACTGCTCCTTTAACCCTCTTAATGCATTCAAAAAAAAAAATATATATATATATATATATATTTGCATTCTGGGGCTGTTATTATTTTTCAGCTAAAAGCATATTGTATCTGATCAGCAACTTCTCATTAATGCACGAATGTAAAAACATTTCAAAAAGTGTTGAATGTTACCATTATATTATTGCATTTACCTCTAAAAAAATAATTAAAATTACACCTGAACCACACCAAAAAAACTACGGTCCTGTACATATACTGTATATATATATATATATATATATATAAATGCATGATATATATAAGAAATATAAT